CAGATTAGCTCCATCAGCTTGGTCACCCATGATGGAAATATGAAAATATTTTCACTCTGTTGCTTTTGTAAACAATCTAGGGGTGATGGGACTTGAAGATAAATCCAAATAAACCAAACCTATTGTTTCTGATAGTGCAATGAATGACAAACAGAAAGACAGATTAGCTCCATCAGCTTGGTCCAACCCATCCAACCCGATGCTGAAATGTGGATAAATCATCTTAATAACTCACCGGGTGGTCATGTGTTCTCTGCCAGGACAAAGTCAAATTATTGAATTAATTTCTGGAATAGCAATGAATCATCAACAAAACATCAATCGATCCCAGATGAATGGCCGAAAACTGCAGTTGTTTGGTTCAGAAAGGACCATCCGTGAGAGTGAGCGCTGAAAGACTGTGGTGTAAAGAACCGTGTTCTTCGGAGATATCCGAACTCATCCGAGTTAATCGAATGTACCAGTAATTAACAAGAGGCACCAGTGAAGTGTTCATGTACTAATGAATTCTTCACCGGTCACCGTCTGTGTAAGCCGTTTGACGGAAAGTATCTGCTTGTCGTTCTGTGAGGTAGGAAGTTTAAGCTGATCATTCTCCACCTCAGAGGCCTTCATTTCAGATTCTCCATCCTCCTTCTTCATGACACTATAGTTGAGCTCAACTTCTCCCAGAACACTACCCCTCAGAAGCTGGGTGGAGTTTACTTGTCATATACGTTTATCTTCAAACTAAACGGGGAAAATTCCACAGCCGAAAGTTGGTTAAATTTCATTTTTACGGCAGCCAACAAACTACCTACAAAAATGTAGACTGTTATATACTGGAAGTAGCTCCTGCTACACAGACGAACTCATTTGCCCCGCAGCCTATGTATAACAACTAACTACCTACTCATGGAATTTAGTATCTTTAAAACATCTCTCATAACCGTTTGGAAGTGTACCATCTGAAAAGGGGCTGAACGAATTTGGTTGGTAGTCCGAAGATTATCAACTGTCATTAAAGTATAGTATATTCTGCGACAAATATACTCGTTTGCAAATCAATTAGGTTTTCACGGGAGACTCAAGTGGACTTCTTGTTTATGCTGATCTTCAACTGAGTGTGTTGCACACAGGCAACCTCGTGTTTCAGTTGGTACGATATCCGAGATGCCGAAGTATATTTTCGTAATGAAAACCATTCACGAGGTTGCTGAAAACTCTTCGACATCCCACCATCGGTTTCATTCCTCTTGAGGCTTATCAGATAAGCGCATTTCTTCAATTTCCGTCAGCCCTATGTTCTACTTGGACTCAAATTGGACTGAATACACTAATTTGAAAATCAACTTGGTTTTCACGAAGGACTCCAATGAATTTTTTGTTTGTGATATTCTTCAACTAAATGTGCTGCACAAAGGTAACCTCATATTTCAGTTGACATTATACTCCAGTTATCACAGTATTTTCAGGAACCTTGTGAGTAATGTTCTTTATGACAATATACCTTGGGGAGAAGGTCTATGCATCATCACCGATCTAAGACCAGTATCCCCCGAACTGCATTTTATCATCATATGTACGTGACTCCATTTGGTGACTTTAAAGGTGATGGAAAAGAGTACAGAGCAACCGATGAGGAATCCAAAATGTTTTCAGCAAGTGTGTAGGGGAACCGCTGCACCTAAATAAGGACATGTGGTTATTTTCTCTGATAATGGAAGACTTTTACTCTGGGATTTTATTCATTTTTTGGTCTCAGATAAGGGTCTTAAGTGATTTTTCCGGGGGAGCTGGGGAGAAACTAGAGAGAGACTAGTTCGTTTACAGTTGAAAAACCCCATAACATGAGATTTCTTTGCGGTTACACCTCTACATTGATTGACTCACACATGAACTGTTTGCTCTAAGTGCCAATCGTTATGATGAGGATAGCAAGAATTAATTTACCTCCATATCGGCGACATTGTTTCTCTACTACTAAATGTGTGAACTCTATTCAGCTGATAGGCAAAACTTATAGTCACAAACTTCGCACATCGAGTCATACGACATAATTAGGTCTCACTCTAAGGTTGATTTTCAGTTTTCCCAAATGAGGAACTCTAACCCAAATGTTGGTACGTGTATTCCCAGCATACCTTGCCCTGCGTTATGATGTCATCTTTATCTGTTTTCAAACACGCTGAGATGAATGGGAACAGACTAGTGGAAATCGGTCATTAATCTCAGAAATCCTTCGCAATACCCAGTAATACCAAAAAAGAAAAAGACTGCGACAAAGGCACCCATTTGCATTTTAATTTAGCTTTGACGGAAGACTCACTTGGAACCCAGCTGGAACTTTTATGATGTATCTAGGCGACTGAATGTACCGTACCAGACCACTTTAGTTGACACTATATTAGAGATATCGCGATGTATGTATAGATGGTAAACACTACTCATGAGGTTGATGAAAAATCTTCGATAGCCCAAGACATAAAAAAGGAGAGATTCAGCTGCGTTCCAAATGAATCTCTCGTTACAACCAAATCGGTGTGTAGATGAGTGTATTTGTCCAACTTGGGTTCAAGGAGAACATAAAGTTGGCCGATACTCGGGTCTGCGCCTACCTGACGAACCTTAGGAAGGGCACAACCGATAGTGAGCTGTCGAAGAGTTTTCAACAACCTTATGAGTAGTGTATTTACAAAAAGTTTGTTTTGCTGCGAGTGTGACGAGGGTTTCTAGGGGTTGACTTGACCATGTGTCCTTCCACCAGGCCACTCTCTGTTTTCAGAATGAAGCTATTGGTTCAATCACAGATTACACTGACGTAGATTGTGGACAACGAACTTTCCAATTTTGATTTGCTTTTGCGATTTTAGTGACTTTTCTGGCCATCTAAACTGAGTCATACTTGATAGTGTTAGTTAGCTGGATTACACATGTGAGCTTAATGGCGTTCATCAAGCCGTCAGGTTAGAGTAACATACAAACAGTAGCATGGGCAGGCATCACATAATAGACGAATACATACCTACACACACAATACAAATATTGTCGTTGATGCCGGAGGAAGTCTGGATCAGGTAGCCATTGGTCTCCCTACCGGGGTCCGTAGTTAGTTTAAAAAGTTGATCGTCACCAATCGAGGTAACATCATCAGCTCGTGGTTGGGTTTATGATCCCTCCCCACCTGTTTGGGTCTAAGGGGTTGAGTTGAGCCGAAAAGTACCTGTGATGTAAACCTCGTAAACACGTGATAAATTAGTTGGATATCTAAGTAAGTGAAAGAAAACTGACTGAGTCATCAAAAATTGTGCTACAGAATTCCATGTTGAGGGTAAGCGGTGAAATGTTTGTCTAAGGTGGCTAGAAATGAGTTTTTGGAGTAAAGACTAGGTTGGTGAAGGAATATGAATTGCCGACGACGCTCGTACTTATTTTTATTGATAGTCATGCGTTAATCTATTTCAATATTGAGTGTTTACACGTTGTATCTAATTGGAATCCGCACAATATACATCATCATTAAGTATAGGCATCCCTTTCATAAATAGTTTTTCTTTCATTGGGACAACACTGTGCGCCATCATAGAGTATTTCACCATTTGGGCTGAGGTGATAAACGAGGCTTGCTTTAAAAACTGATGATCATAGCAACGGTCGTTTTATGTGTGCTGAGAGATTCGTCAAACTTAGGCCTCAGGATTTTCGTGTGATTCTACGTTACTGATTTTCAAGCACAAACACACGGTTAAAATCAAAGTTCCATCACCCTTATCTAGTCGTAGCATACTATTAATATTGTTGATCAAAGCCCTTCGAAGTCCAGGACTGGTTTCGCCCTTCCTGGGGCTCAACAGTTAGGCGCAGACATCGAGAGTCCTTCAAAGTTATATTCTACTTGAACCTAAATTGGACAGATTCTGACAAAAACCGGCCTTCGACTCAAATGAATCCAGTTGATTCGGTCGTTTATGATATTCTGCCTCAAGAAGGGCGAAAACGGTCATCGTGTATCAATCAGTTTTCAGCAGCCTTATAACTAGCGTGTTATATCTAGACAAAAACGTATTGTGACATCTCAAAAGCTGTAACAACTAAAACACGAGTCAGATCGGTGCAACACATTCAGTTGAAGCAGACCACAAAAGCGAGGGGTTTAGCTGGATTCAGTTGAGCCTTCTATTAGAACTGAATTCGAGTGTAAATTAGAGTACTCTTCAAAAGTCCGTCTGACAAAATCCTCGAAGGATACTGATAGGAACTAATGTTTGTTTGTATATTTGCAGAATACAATAACTTTGATTTGTGCTGACCTTCCCTCTGACAGGTTACCATTCATTGGTGCTCTTGGAAAGTAAGTGGTAGTAAGAAGCTGGATAGTATGTAGATCTTATCAGTCGAAAACTTTCACAAACTGTTCGGGCGACTAACATCCGAAATCTGTAGGCTCTATCCGATTGGTGCATCAAATGCGAGAAGTACTTTACACCTATTTTATCCATGTTAGTGCGCGATTCACGAAATTTCAGGGAGTCCCGAGGCAGTCAAAAAGTGACCAAATGATGTTTCTGGCGTGATTGAAGGGTGAGCGGCGAGGTATCCTAAGTGCGAGTGAATCATACAAACGATCAGGACGTTCAAATGTTCAAACTAACAACCGAGAATATGAAATTTCATGTGACGTGCGTTGTTGATAATTTTGAACAAGAATAGAACATCTGTACATTGCTTCCTAGCTTTTCAGCACAGCTTACATGACGAAATCTCCACTAAAATTCCGAAATCCATTCAGACTATCGATATTATTTGTACTTGATGGTGATATGAGGAGATTTGATCGCTGTGTAGCCATACCTTATACCCTTCCTAATTCTGCAGGTCTTTGTCTGAATACATGGTTTTCCTAATTCCGGACAGGACATGCCAGCCAGATTTACGTCCTGTTCAACTTCATCTTATTGGGGACTTTTACAACTTCTTGACAGTAAATTATCTCCCGTCTGCTTGCATAGGTGCCAGACACAATGAACAGCCTTTCTGTCATTCTTCAAAATGCAATGGTCAATCTTAAGACGGGAGAAATTAACATCAGCAAAAATTGCGAAGAAATTGCGCAAAATGTTTGCTTGGCATTTTGTTGTAGCATTCTGCACGTAAGTAGTCTGTTGATGTGTGTTAACATTTTATGAGATACGTTCACTTTGCTATTGTCCACCCACTGTTGTTACTGTCGCAAGTTGACATACATGTCAGACCTTCAATGTTGCTGCTTGCCACAGTACGTGATGGCCTCTAAACAAGGCTGTGATAAAACACTGACGGTATCTTGGAGAAAGCTTTACAAGTGGTTGCGACCGCTTTCTTGTACAGCTTAGACGGCCCTGGAAAAGTAATCTTTTATTCTAAGGTTACGCCGTGTAAACAAACATTTTAAGAGCTCCTGTGGATCAAGGATTATTCTTGTTCACTAGATTATGCTCAGTCATCGCAAAAGCTTTTCTATTTTTCAAATGTTTGCGTAAAGATCAAAATATTTTTGGATTTGGAATTCAAATTATTCTTGGAGTAAAACGTTTTGATGCATACAAGTTGCACGTGAATCAATATGGTGTTGTCTCACTGCCAGTGATTGCTAGATTAATGAGAGAACACCTCATCCAGTAAAAATCAATACTAATCAATGTATAACAAGGTCACCGTTTAAACAACTAGTGGAGTTGCAGTGCCTTACATAACGTTGCGAGTGCAATTCTGAGAAAACAACACACCGAATTGTTGACTCTAATGTGTACTCACTGGAAAGCTGAATATCAGGATGATTATGAGCCGCATTACTTGATAGCTGTGTTTCCTCTCGTCTTAGTTGTCGTACTATTAAGGCCATACTGACTCAACCTTTTGTTCACCCAAATAACCTAGGTGTTATGTCAACCTAGAATTTTGGTCCAAGAAAGCGTCCTTGATGCCGTCCACATAGCACTGAATAGGACTTCCTTTCAACCCGCAATCAGCCGTCCATCAGAAAGCATCATGACGAACCTCTCCACTGCATTTGACCAGGACCCAGTATCCTTAATGACCGCATCTACATCCTTCGATTCTACGAGCCCAGTGCAACCTCCATCTCGAGGAAATACCCTATGCGAACAATATAATGATTGTCGCAGTTCGGGAAGTTGTTCCTCAACCGGGCACAAAATGGAATGGATGATGACGTCGGAACCAGTCGTGTACTGTAAAGCCGAAGGCGTGCAGCTTGCAGATACTGGGAATTCCGTTCCAACAAAGACATTCGAAGATCCCAGTAACTTCTGTTCAAAGTCTTTAGAGGTTCTTGGTGTCCCTCAGTTTATTCTGATTCCAGCCGGAGAACACAGAAGAACCGAATTCAGTATTCATCCGGCCCATTTACGTCCATTATCGATCCAGGAGTGAGTCAGACAATAATGCAATATGGATATTGCTTACCTGGTCACCCTGTTCAACTCAGAACATATCAGTTCCAGTTAACGTGATCCAGGAATGTACAATTAGAACGGGGAAGCTATATGACCGTCAATATGACCTATACATACTCTAACCTTTGTAGGTATCTAGTTGACACTGCTCTGTCTAAACATGTAGCAAACCATCGATTCAAGTAGGAACTGAGAGTTAATAAGGTGAAACCATCCCATATAATTAGCAATGCTAGCCACGCTGCGATTGATACTACGGTTGCCAGAATTTGAAGTAGTGCTATTGGCTTAGCTTAAGTAATCGGTTTTGTTAGATGTCAGAGCTTTTCAAATTACGATACCACATCATACTTCAGTACTCTGGACCCTAAACGACAACGACGTTACAGCAGTGAAACCGGTCACACGATCACAACGATCGAACAATGTCATAACCTGAGATCCTGCTGCTACCAATATGTTTCAGCAGGCAAGACGTTCCTTGTTTTTATGGCATTAAACACAGCTGATATTGATGACATCAACGTGCCACCTGAAGGATGTTCAAGAAACGGGTTCAGTTTGCCTTATTCCACGTCAGAAAGAATTTTTGGGTCATATTTAAATTTCATACCCATATCATGATACCATTAATTAGAATGTACACTCATATGACTCTTTCTAGAACGATCATCCTCCTGTCCTTGCCTACTCATTCTGATGGGTCCACACCAAATGTAAGGCACTGAACACGAGTTTGGCTCATATTAGAGCTCATCAGCAATCTTAGCCTGGGTCATGATGGGTTTTGAACCCCGCACATCTGCCGTGTGAGGCGAGCGGGTTATCACAACTCCACTGTTTGTGATTTCGAGACTTCAGTGTCCGTTACAAGGCTGGACTTACCAAGTTACACTTGTTGGAATGTGTGTCCATAACCGCCAAATTAGATCTTATTTTATAACCTATTTCACCCAACCACACTCTAGCCTTTAAAGTATATTCGTTAACTCATCATCTTTCTGTCTCTACAAGGTGCTTCGATCACATTGTTGCCTGTGAACAAGAACGCAAACGACGTCTATGCTCTGCACCTTACAATGAAGGATATTCTTGTGGGCGCGGTTTGATGGCATCGTTGAGTTTTGTAATGTGCCAGGCATCTGGAATACTCCTTGACACTCTGGTTCCCAGTATCCAACACCTTCGCCAGCTGGAGCGCTCAAAGCAGCTTTCAGCTGTATTGCGACAAAATACCTTGGAATATTCTAGTTTGGAAAGCCGTGATATTACACCTAATGAATCACATGGAAACAACGACTCACCTCAAAATCGCACCAAGTCCAATTCAGCTGCAACCATTACTGAGGAAGTATACCACAAATCAGATATTACTTATCGTGACGAAGATTTGATCTCTCCATTGAAAAGTTCAAACGAATTCCAGTTGAATCACATATCAAAGTTGTGTGTAATACCAAAAACTGTTCCTATTCCCAACCATTCTGCTGTCAGCTTATCAAGACAGCCGTTTGTAGGTTGGCGTTTGAGTGACTTTTATGACTATTTTCTCCTGGAACTCCCTGATATTTGTCCAGGATGCTTAAATGGCTGTCAGTTTTGCAGTGGCATTGGGGTTTTATAGGATCAATTTACGAGTCTTCATCCTCAAATGCTGCTTCACTTTGATCATACAAATCCCAACCACATGTACCACGTATTTGATCCTTGATTTGATTGACCATTTTCTATTGAATCTTTTAATAACAACTGACTAATCGAAGGTACTTGTTTTCTTATATATTCGTCAATACTGGAATGGACGCCTGGGCCAATGGAATCGAGAATATTTTAGGAAAGCTTTTACTTTAACTTGATCGCCATTTACTTCAGGCAGGTCAGTTTCAGTCGTATGTTTCAATGCGAAACGGTGGTACCGAAATTAGCTAGAGCTTCAAAAGATTCGTTATTCTAACGTCCTATATTTAGACTTTCGGCGATCAAACCCAAAGTATTTAGTTAGACCTAAATGGAATGACTTGTTGGCAAATCGAAATGACACTATTGAAGAAGCATATTCAATGAAATTCGGGCGAGTTTCAGTCAATATTTTTATTAATTTCAGGTTATCCAGCTTACTAATTTCAAGAAAAACAAGAGCCACGTATCGCTACCCACTGTGCTACTTCAGTGTGAGGGACTAATTCTCAGTCAAAAATGCTAGTGGCCAAAACTAAATTTCGGCTGATCACATAAGCGCTATAAACGTTTAGTTCAGCAGACAACCTGCCTTCCATTCAACCGCAGCTGCTGCCCCTATCAGTGTTCTGAAAAGCCCTAAAAGGCTAGTATTTCTTCTAAAATCAAATAATTAACAGAGAAGCCCCTATGTCATTTTGGAATGCATCTTGCAAATATTGAAATGTTCCCTGATTCTGCTAAAAACGCGACCACTTGCTAGTTCCACCTCAAATTAAATTTGATCCCCTTTTTGTCGCGCCTTCTTTGGCCACAAATGCGAACAAAAATGTGACAGTGCAGATCATAGCGAAAAAACCACACTTAACACTGGTGTTCCACAAACCGGAAAACTTGAGGCGGAGCTTTATTCCCCACCACTGACCCTTAATAACGGTGCAGTAAAACTCCCAGTGTCCTGGTTGTTAGCACTGTTCTGAACGTGCAACGAAATTGTGCAATGTGGAAAAGCACTTCGTTGCTAGTGATCAACGAGTGACCCCACAAGAGCCAGGTTCCTGTTTAATGAAAAAATTGAAATGATCAACGAGTGACCCCACAAGAGCCAGGTTCCTGTTTAATGAAAAAATAAAATATTTTTTTTTTACAAATCTCTACTTCATTTAGCTGTAGCTAACAGGAAACCTACGGCCCTTCTTCTAATGAGATAATGTGTCTTTCCCAGTGAATATCATTTGTTCTGCGCCCGGATTTTAGAGATTCCAAAGCGCATACTGGATGTTATCTACATGTCAAGGTAGGATATTTGAATCAAATATTGTACCAAGGCAAGGGCAAAAGCATCAGCTATAAAACTGATTCATGCATGACGCTTTCAAATGAACGGGAAATCCTGCTAATTTTGGACTTTTAATGCTGGTAGAATGGTAAAACTTATAACGGAGACTTTCAAGACAAAGCATGTATTAGATACTCTCATTAAATAGACTGTCAATTCGAGCTGTGGTTAGCTCACTTTTCACTAGCGATGTTGGGAGAACTGTTAGAGCTGCTTAAAGTACTTACTTGATGAGTTCGCCTCTAACAGGCCCTCCGAAAATTCTTAGACTCCTTCGAACTCATTCATATTTCAGTTTTTTTCGATCAATGACGAGACTGACCATTATGTTTTACAAACATAAATGAAGCCAAACTCCAGTAGTCCGTAAGAGCCAGCGAAGCGTCTCTTATCATCTATCCGCACACAGCGGGTTCATCGTACAGATCTGAATTTTATCATGAAGAACCCCATTTTTTCCAAACGAAGATGGTGGACTTGGTCCGAATGCCGTCTGGAAGTTCCATACACCCTGGCGGTTCATCTTAGCATCCTACTGAAAAGAGAGCCTATAGAATCAGATATTATCCAACATTGTCAGCAATCACGTGTTCTGACTGCTTGATGGGGTGGAAAAGTCCAAACCGAGCGTAATGAAAGCAAGGAAAGATAACAGCGCTAAGTATTATGGTATATAGTTGGCTGGTGCACAAGGCAGATTACCTTGTTGATAGTAGTCAAACGGACCAAAGGCTCCACATAGCTATTATATCACCTATCGTGATGTCAATAGCTAAGCATAGAATTCGATTTACACCAGAGAGGACAAGAGTTGGAAGCAAATACTATGAATTCTATTCAAAATCTTTGAGTAACTCGATAATTATAACTGTAACAATAAGCACCAGCACTATCTCCTCGCAGTTTCAAATTTCATCTCATACGACAATTTTGTCAAGATTCAACCAAATATCTCACCCTACTTTGAACTCAGCTTAGCACGGCCTACTGGAGGATACCCGCCTGATTTGTGTTGTGTTAGACGTAGGGACATCCAGGGTGCTACTGTTACTCTCTTTTAAATGAAGACATCAAGCGGGAGGCGGCATCTGATCTCTGATCTTGAAGATCTTTTTTTTCCACAGCGTAACTACATGTGGTAATATAGTTGTATATAATGTGCGACTAATATGGCTACTCTATAATGATGTCCATCCTTGGTCCTTGGTCAGTATTTGTCTGGGAGCCATTACTATGCTGAAGAACAGGATGCTCTCGGTATGTAGACGCAAACTTTCGCTTATCTGATTGTTGCTTCATCTGTCCATCCCCACCATTATCTACACATCTCGAAGGGTTGGATTTGATGTCTGTCATCGCCAGTAGTAAGCCCCTTACGTGAGAGCTACAGTGGACCAAACTTGGATATCATCGGAGCACGCAAGTAGCATCAGTGTGAACTTAGTGTAAATTTTATAGGATAGAGTGGGATTTAGTTAATCCCTCAGCGAGAAGTTCAAGTGCACAGAAGGGTCATAAGGAAATTCGGAGTGGAGTTTTCTTTTATAAAAAACGGGTGCTCTTCTTACATCTTTTGTCAACACAGACCCCGCTGTTTGTGGAGTGTAAGTTTACGGTCAGTCTTACGGTCCAGGTTTTCGGTTACCATGACATATTTTTCTCAGTGTGTAACAAATCCAAATGTGTACACAAGTGGAGTAAGACGTCTGCAGTTGGACGTCATCCACTGTCGGTCAAGTGAAGTATGGTTGTGTGTACGTGGGTTTGAAAGTGGTCACTACTGCAGTCAGTTTACCGTTTATGGCTCTCGTACAAATACCACCAGCAAATAAAATTAAAGAACATTTAGAAACAGTAATAAAGCACATGAGTGAAATTTGATGTGTGTTGGGGACAGTTATCATGGTCACGGTCCGCACGGTGTATTTATTACTGACAATGAACAACGAGCTAATGGACCAACCAATTCTATCAACTCTGACAAGGTAAACTGTCTCTAACACGTACTCACTTTCGCTCATACGTCATTCTATTTTGTGCCTAATTAGTCCTTAGTTATGTTTGTAAGGTTATTGCTCGTCACACTTAAGAATGGTCTGTCCAGCTGCATCAAAGTGAATTAAACGAACACGGACCGTCGCATTGACCTGTGCTTACAGCCGATGCATGACTACGTTGATTGCCATGGCCTGGCACATATCTGCTCTTGCTGAAAAAGGAAGCGGCAGTCGATCACTTCTGACGTCAGAGATTGCTCGTTTTCGTGACATAGTATGTAAAACTGCATCTCAGAAATGTTCTGTAATTTTGTAGACCCCTTCTGACCTTTTCTGGTTAGACTTTAGAAAATTATTCAGTTTAACTTGGGTTGTTCATATGGTTTCTGAGCGAGGTACTCCACTGGTTATTTACTACTGTTATACCTAGTTTTTGTCCCTGGTGTGAGAGAGATGCTGTCCTTTATTCAGCACAATGTGTTTTTGCATAGTACCCCGTTGCCGACCAAATATTTTTTTAGAGTCCGCCACCGGTTCTTCGCAATATACTGATTGATGCTGTTCTCTATCCTACCCTATTCATCCCGATGTGGTTGTCCTGTCGTCCGTTAGAAGTGTTAACTAAGAACTTGTACTTATGAACTGAACGGACTGAAAGAAGCCAAACGAATCTACAAGGCGCCGACTGGTTTGTTCTAAACTGCACTTTATCTGCTTTGCGCTCGGCATTTAGGCAGATTTGAAAGCATTCATAGTTTACTTACACTCAGCTTCGGTTTTTCAGTCAAAAAAGGAGCACTGCCAAAATATCAATCTATGCTTTATCGCCGAATGAAAGTTTACTAACGCTCGTGGTCACGAGAGTCCTCAACCTTGATCTGATATCCTAAATCAGCCTTACCAGACAAACAGATATAATACACTTCTGCCCCGCGCCGTCTAAAGTCTTACGGTTTCACGATTATTGACACCGATCATGCGTCCAAAAAACTCACCGGAGACTAAAATACTTATGGCATCTTAAGCAAATCATGCTAAAAATCCAGATATTTCAAGCTCGTCGACCTAAAAACATCCCACAAGTTTTCTAAATTTCCGCGAGACTGTATCGCAGAAATGAGGTTTCTTTCCTTTGTTTGGCTACAAGTGACCATTTGAATCGTCGATGGAATTAGCTGAAATAAATATGAAACTGAAGTATTCAAACCTTGAAATCATTGGCGCAACTGAAGCAAACATTAGTCAGTGAGACGAAGACATGAACGTTCTGCAGATTCATGTCAACAAACCGTGCGACTTCAATGCACATACTAGAAAAGAAGGGATATCCTGCAATCCTACAAATGGGACGATGTTCATTTCATTCCCAACCGCTGGTTCTTTCAGTCTTGCTGCGTATTTAAAGCCCAGGTACCCGTTTGTTTCTGCAGCGGATGCAGCGGTTCTACAAGCCATGAACATGTCTATTGTGCCACATGGTATTCTAGTTGTTCACTATGACAATTCCTTTCTATCTCGAAATTTGTCTCCAGATTACTGAGAACTTCTGACCGCTATTTTGGAAGCCTCTTCTTATCTGCATTACATTAAGGCCTGATCAGCCATTCACATCGACTATTTTGTATGAACATGCTTGGGACGTATCCTGAGGGTGATGGGTCAAGTTTATTTTGCTGATTTTCAGCAACATGTGTTAATGATCGATCTCGAAAACCACGAGAACCACACATGTCAGCGTGTCGCCACTACATTCAACCCGGAGTCATGATAATTCCCCGATTCATGTAATTGCTTCACCCGTGTACGTTTGATTCCCACGTGTTTTGCGCCTTCGAGCCCGTCATTCACCTTAACACAAAGGTAGACTAGCATGTATGCGTGTGTGCCACTGACCTATTTACCCATCCTCCGTCGTGCCCCGTCTGCCGCGCCTGATTTGACTTGCTGTATTGTAACGCAGTTGAGACTCGACTGTATCTGCATGCACGTCTATCACATGAGCTTATGTGTCTCTCCCCCCTCTCTCTCCCTGTTGCAGGTACCATGGCCGAACCACCACGAGCCCCGGACAGGAAAGAATAGCCGCTTGTACAACCCCCCCTGACTGACCTTGACCGGCCCCCCTATTTGCACACCCGCTTCTTCCGGTTTCGGTTCGGGTTAATACACGTATTAGTGCACAGGTGATGATAGTCATAATAGAAATCAAAAGGTGTATGTGTGCACTAATAGAAGTTTTTACTATTTCTGTGACACGTATAAAAATAAATACAATGCGAAAATGGGAGCAAGTCAAAAAGGAACTTATCGTAGGTGAGAGTTCCTTGGTGAAAGTCCGGACGGCGGTAACGTGTTTTCTCCGCAGTTTGGCTGCTACACGTGTTCCATGATTGTCTGTGGACTTGGAGTGCTTGCTGACTCCTTGCTCCTGCACGCGCACACGTGAGCCTGTGTCCTGACTGGGTTTCCCTTTATGTAGGTCCCAGTGCGTATACGTGGGTGCGTCGGCACATGAGTGGTTGCTACGCTGACTAGGCGGCGCAGACAATCGATGTCAGATGAGTCAGCTTAATGTGACGTGTTTGTGTGTGAGAGAAAAGACTAGCCTCGCGATCCAGTGAGCGACTGTGAGTTGAACAGTCAAGTATGTGGGTGACTGGGTCGCTACACACGTGTGTTGTTGCTACACTCCGGTCTTCTTCCCTGTACCACCCGACCTGTGCGCATATGTGCTGTGTATACTGTGTGAATTCATTAATACCAGTCCGTATATCTGCACATTTCAGAACTGACGTGTGCCGTCCTCTGGAACGTCGAATACCGCTGACTTCCTGACATCTCACGCTACAGTATGGTGATTTCCATATCATCGCACCAGAATCACTGGACTAGCCTCGCTAGGGCCGACCGCAACCCAAACTAGCGAGCAAAGACTTTGATCGCTGTTGCTTGGGCTGGAGAGTCTGACAAAGGGCTGTAACTGGCTGTGAAGAGATGTAGATGTGCAGAGACGAAAGTTGACAATCGAGATTTATTGTGCAATTTCGCTTACCTCCGTATGAATAGTATCGCAGACGTTCGACCCGAATCCTCCTTTGAGTGTTCGGAGTTGTCAAACCTACGAGTGACTCGAAGTCCCATATAGCAAACCCCAGTCAGAATAAATCATATTCGTCGATCTTGTACTCATTGAAGTGATTCCCTTGTTCAAACCGTCGAATGATTTGGAGAACCTGGCCTTGATGTTTAACGGCCCAGTTCTTCATTTCTGACGGCGTCATCGTTCACCTTCATTTATGGTAGTGCGGTTCGCATTACCATCCTGAAGGATCAACGATGCATAGATGCTATTGCTATACGCGTTTTCCGCGGCCATGCTCTGTCCGCCAACAGACGATGCAACGCAGCCGGATTCCGTGTGAGCAAAATTCGAGAGGGAGCCCCAGTTTGTACAGACATCACCACCCGAAGTATACAAACCTTAGCCGTAGAACTGTTCGTCTGGTGTTCATTTCCGTAAGAATAGTGGGAAAATAGGCCTCCCCGCCTATGTACACCGTTTTTCTAGGGAATCCGAGTATCAGATCGTTCAGTCCCTTGATGCAGCGAAATACTTTACGAGCAAGCTAAACGATGTCGGAGCGTCGCAAATGGCGCCCGATTTATCACTCGGTATTTTGGTTAACCAGTTTAGCCGCGTCCCGGAAGCACACTCTAAATTTCTCTGAAACCGCGGTTCGAAAACGAAAAACTCCAACATAATGTTTTAGCACCCGATGGTAGTTATCCCGGCCCTTAAGCTCCCCCATCACAACCGAAGTTTTATTAGAATTTGTTTAAACGAGTCCACCATGGGCGCGGAATTTGAATTTAATGACTGCCGGTAGCTGGGAGCGTTTTCACTATAAAAGCGGTGGGAAATTCTGCGGAAAAGATAGTTTCTTCGCGTGTTTTCTTACGTATTGGATTTGAAAATACTCTCAAAACCACGTAGACGTCGCGAACTTAGATTGGACAGGCCATTCGCCACCTGGATATGAAAATTCTGCTATGATTGTGGCAAGCGTCCCGCAAAGCCCAAGGAATTCGCCACAGACAGTAAGTTTTTTGTTTGATAGTTAGCCCACGTTGGATCTGGCTTAAGGCAGGCTTGACTTTACCGATACACCGTGCCACCAACAGTGCCGTTGTATGAACTATTGGATTTGTGAGCGGAACATGCAGACGGCACATTAGGGTGGCCACTGCTTTCTAGTCCGTGCACAAATTGAATGGACTGAACAGGACCTGTAGGTGACGCTCTAGTCTTGTACCTGATGTGTGAGTCTTGATTGCGCATGCGCTTACCGCGCCTTGGAGAGCATTCAACACTGTCCTTTCTTCGGTTCTTGGTCTTTAGACGCGTTTTTCCATATCAAAAGTTTTAATTACGTTGGGATTCAGCTTATCTGACTGGAACTGTTGGTGGCATGAATTTGTCTGGGACGTTCCTCTCTTTTCTATCATATTCTCCTGTTACCCTTTTGCATTCGTCGCTTGCATTCACTTTTTATGTTTGTGACCATGCTCTTGAAAATAGATGATAAAATGATAAAATCATACCAGTTTGTGACACATGACTGATACTCTATTCATTGCTCTATTCATTATTCTCTTGTTTTAATATTCCATACGCTGTACATATTTGTCAATCCGAATACATACGTGCTGGTTGTTACGCTTCGCTGAGTTCTGGATTTCTAGTTTGTGGGGTTGTACCGATATACGTACGAAACTCAATTCTCACATTTTAGCGTCGCGATTGGAACAATTCATCATGCCTGCCGAAATTGAACCATTAGATGGTAATTCAACTGTGCGATACCTAGAGGATTGTTTGGAACGGTTGGACATATGGTGTCTTAAAAAAGCTGATATGGATGATAAGAAACTCACGGCATATTACCCACACTTATTTGGCAAGGAAGCGTATACGTTGATAAAAAATTTAGCATATCCTGAATCTCCAATCGATGTTTCCTACACTGAATTGAAGAAAAAATTCTCCAACACTTCAAACCGATTAACTTCGTAGCAGCCGCAAGAGCTAGGTTCAATATGATGACCCGCTCCCATTCTCAGTCGGTTCGTGATTTCGTTTTGCAGCTGCAGGCACAGGCAGCCTAATGTGACTACGGTGCCCAACTGGAAGACCAGCTGCGTGATAGGCTTATTGCTGGCATTCAGCTTCCCGAATTACAACGGAAGCTGCTGCTCTGCTCGGATCAGAACTTTCAAACTAATGGGAAAATATGTGAGCAATATGAAGATGTGAAGCAGGTAACGAAGACCGAGGAAACAGTCTTATTAAATTATTCTAAACGAAATAATTCAAGGAATTCAAACGTCGAACAGATTCTCGTGCCCCAAATCCATCAATACGCCACTTCACATATCGTAACTCTAATCCGATGGTTCAAAAATTTGAGAAATACGAATCTTGTGGATGAAACCATTCCAGCTATTCATGCACTCACAGGAAAGCGATGTATTTTATCTGAGGTAAAACGCGACACATTCAACTTGTCTGTAAGTCAAAAAATGTGTCA